GCCTCTGTTCCAATTAGAAATGCAGGGCAGCCCTTTAAAAAACAAACGCGGCTTGTCATGCAGATTTGGGATGCAGGAACTGAAGGTGCTAAGTGGAAGGGGATGGAGCGGCTGGAGGTTTCCTAGCAGCTCGAATAATAAAGGGAAGTCGTTTCTGTTCGGGCAGAAACAATTGGATTAAAATGAGCTGCAAGAGACCCAGGAGAGGCCTGTAAACACTCCTAAAATGTCGTCCTCCGCTTCAGTTTCTGAAATAAAAATCCTCGCCTGCCCTGTGCTAGCTGGTAGAAGCCCCAGAGGGTGGGTCCAGTAATTGTCCTGATGTCCCATCGTTCTGATGGTTCCCTTCTTTGATGTATCCGATTCAGCACATAATTCAATTAAGTAGTTTAAGTTGTTGAGAGCGGTTAAATGTAACTAAATTGACACACTGTTCACGATATAAAAACACGCTCGTGTGCACGAAACCCCCTGCTGTTGAACTAACCGTGATCAGATGCTTCGGAGTTTTTCCATTGATATTTGTTTCCTAGATGTTCATTTGTTTTGTTGTGTGCAGGCACTCGCTAGCAGGCACTATGGCTAGTCACTGCAAGAAAAATGTAGAATTGAGAAAATTCTAGCCCTTAAACTAACTTTTCCTCTGAATTGGGAAAAGACGGCCATGCCTCGATTTCAGCGGCAGAACGCCTCGTTCCAGCTCGCGCTGTTCCGCCGGAGTATCGTTAGAGAACCACTGGTGAATGGTATTCATATGACAAGAATCCCATTGTGTTTTATGAGCTAGTACTTGAGTCCTCAAGTAGATACCCATCAGAAGAAAGCAGCATGACTTTTTCACCTTCATTCCATATGGCTGTGTAAATAATGGGACTAATCGACTTCTTCTCCACCCCCTCTTTATCCTCGCAGAGTAACAGAAACCTGAAATGTTTGTTTCCTACTTTTTTAAATTTTAGAAATATCAAGCACATCACGTGTCTGTCTCGTTTTTGTGGGAGACTTTGAGAAGGACCAGAGACCTGGAGTAGGAGCTTTCTGAGCCCTCCGTTAGTGTGGACGTATTGCATGTTTCACAGAGAGCTTTTTCTCCCAGTTGTTTTAGGGGTTTGAAGTAAATAAGCACTAACCTAAAAGGCCCCCTCAGAATTTGAAACTGCTTGACCATTTTTCAGTAGCCCTGATCCTCGTTTCTCTAGCTCTCCAGTCCTCCAAGGAGTCCTCAGCAAAGCCAGATAAATTAAGACCTGAATCCCTACTTTAAAAAAACCACTCGCCTCTAGCCTGCCTTTACGTGTTGGAGGACGCAGTGCGATTCTTGCACCTTATAAAAAGGCTTGAGACTGGAGGAATTGATTGGGGTAATCCAGAGCCTGACTCTGGATACAGGGGATCATCCCATAGATGGGTTTTGTTGGATTAGTATCCAGTGTTGTTTTCAGTAGCCTTTACGCAGCGCCCTAGATTTCTTCCCTTGTGACTGGCTGAGAATGATGAGTCTCTGTGAACCTACGAGACTTCTGTAGCCACACGTTGCCTTAGTGTCTAATGCAGGTGGAGACCTGAGGCCCAGTGAGGCTAAGAGCCTTGCCCGAGTTCTCGCACGAAGTCTGTAGCAGAGCAGAGGGATTGAACCTGGCTCTCCAGGAGCCCAAGTTTGCCTTCCATGCCATCCTGCCTCCCCACATGAAGCATGTGGATGTGTGGTGTAACCATCAAGTGCTGTTGCAGGCCGTTCTATCAAGGCATCCTGCTCACATTGCAGCATCACACTTTGGAGCTGTACCTGCAGCCAGAGCTGACGTGAGGTCCCCGAGCAGGAATTGATGGGTGGTTTTATTCAAGCTCTGCAGGGCTGTGCGGTGGTCAGGTGGCTTGGAAATCCTTTTGCCCTCCTGAGGTGACTCTGCTGGGTGTGGGCGAGGGGGTTGTGGGGTGTCTGAAATCTACCCCTGCGCTTTCATTTTCTATTTGTCCTCAAGTGCGTTCGGCTCCTGAAATCTGTAGGCGGTTTTGGAAGCTGGCAGCTGGAACCAACCAGCAAGAATGCTGGTGCTCTGCTGCCATGCCAACCCTGTCTCCATGGAAATGTAGGCCCAATGAGCGAACACCAGGCAAATCAAACTTTGACAAAGTGTTTCAATACTCTTCTTAAATCTCTGCTCTGGCCCATGTCCAGGGGGACAGGACGGAGCAACTGGCAGCTGAGCTTACAGAGCTCCGATCCATCAGCTGCTCCCCCTGCCCTTGGACCTATTACTCTCATTTGTTAATTTCAGCAAGGGGTTTCAAAACCACCTACCAGAAAGGTGCTTTAATGCGCCTGGTGAAAGCTTGTATTTTTCCCCTTTGAACTCCTAAATAATAACTTTCAAAACCACCTACCAGAAAGGAGCTTTAATGTGCCTGGTGAAAGCTTGTATTTTCCCCTTTGAACTCCTAAATAATAAAAGCCCCTAATTTAATTAAAATCTGTGTCGCTTATATAATCTTCAGCGTGCAGTTGTGCTGGATACCACCCACGTGTGATTGGTGGAAGGCCTGGCAGTGCGTGGGTGCACACATGGGGGATAGGTCCCTGGCGCAGGCCTGTCTTGTGGGCCCGTTACGTTACCTGTTACATAACTCACTGCAGCCCTTGTTTATATTACTGGAGATTGAAGATGAGGCACATGTCAAAACACTTTAAAATAACTCAGACTGTAGCTATGTTTAGAAACGATTTAAAAAAACCCAAAAAGTACTCCCCGTGAGATTACAATGAAAGATTTTAGTCTGACAGTGATTTAAAGGGACGTTTACAAGTTAGGAATCCTATTTCCAGCTGGCAATTCTATGGATTGCTGTTAGGAATCTTATGGGGTATTTCTATAGCTGTGTAAGCAATCGGGTATTTTTCTTTAGTGTCGAGGAGTCCTGTGGCACCTTGTAGACTAACTGAAGTGTAGGAGCATAAGCTTTCGTGGGCAAAGACCCACTTCGTCAGATGCATGAGGCATCAGACATGCATCTGACGAAGTGGGTCTTTGCCCACGAAAGCTTATGCTCCTACACTTCAGTTAGTCTATAAGGTGCCACAGGACTTCTCGTCGCTTTTGCAGATTCAGACTAACACGGCTCCCCCTCTGATACTTTCTTTAGTGTGTTTCCTGTGTGTATGGGCAGTGCTTTTGCATGGAGTTACTTCCACTCTTTTGTTGCTCAGTTAGGCAAGCTCATCTCTCTGCTGTGCTTTTGGATGGGGTAGAGCGCTGGGGGTATGCACGTTGCGCCCCTCCAACTGGGTGTTGACTGGTAATAGTAACTGCAGAACCGAAACGGAGAATTTGGCAAACAGGCATGTGCCCAGAGAGAAAGGAGAGCACAGTCTGGCATATTTGGTGCTGCCACTCTTCCCTGCTGGATAGACCCTTGAAATATCACAGGGGAGCAGACAGCCCCTTTTATAAATCAAAAATTTTACCAAGGAATTGAGGTAAGTAAATGCCTGTGCATTGTTAAAAGGGGCTAGTCAGAATCTTGAACTGTTTCAATAGTGACTGAGAATGTCTTTAGTGGACCCATGTCCATTGAGACAGGGAACGCTGAGCTACAGATCCCACCCAAAATACTCCTCTAATGCACGGGATGTAAAACAAAACAAACTGTTGGATCAGACTAGGACAACTGTTCAAGCATTTTCCTAGGCAACTCTTGCCATTGTCTCTATTAGAAACCCATCAGAGTCCAGACAGTTTAATGTTTTCCTTGTAGGACCTTAGTGTTTGGCTTTGTCTTAATGCTGAATGCAAAAGAAAAATGAGATTTGATTGTAGCCCAGATTCTGATGCTGAAGCTCCTGTCTAGCCAGCCTTGAGGGTGGGGATGGGGATTGGGATCAAGCAGCACAAAATCCAGGTGAGATTAATTTAAAAAAATGTTTCTCCCTCTGTGGAATTCTCCTCCTGGTACTTCCTGGCTCAGCAAAACAATCTTGGAACACAAGACAGCAAATACCAGGTGCCTTTTTGCAATCGGTGGCATTAATTGTCACAGAGAAGCATTCTGGGATATCTTCGCCAAGCCCAGGGATAACAAGGAATGATATTAAAAAGTTAACCAGATGTTTAAAGTAGCAAGACGGTAGCCATGGCTTGGGGGGAGGTTCTACCTGCGGCCTCCAGCAGCCAAGTGTTGGATATGGCCATCTCCTCTTCCCCAGGTCCTTGTCCCCCCGCCCCGTCGACTTCCTTCTCACTAGCTACTTCTGGGAGTGCATCTCTGGTCTGGCCAGGGCAGGGAGGCAGGCTCTGTGGATATGGTGGCTGCTTCTACACCACTCCATAGAGGGGCGGCGGGACGGGAAGGCCGTGCTAAAGGGTAGCAGCATGTTCTCACCATTGCAGTGGTCTCTCGTGCACCGCTTCGGCACACTTTAAAGAGCAGAAGGAAATGTGGCTGCAGCTGACTGTTCCTGAGGAGGTTCCCAGCTTGCCTCAGTTCACCTGCTCCTCTCTGGGTTGCCATGTCCCCATGTGTGCTGAGGTCACTGGCTCAGGCTAGCTGAGCCTTGGCTGGCAATAGTCTTTGCCTGGGGACTCAGTGGAGGGTGGGAACAGGAGCTCAGTGTGCCTGGACACACTGAGTGTGATCCCTTTGCACGTTTGCAGTCACTTCTTCCAGGCTGGCCACAGGAACTTCTGCTCAGAGTCCAGTGGGGAAGGCCGTGGGGTTAGAGGTACCGAGTCTACGTGGGCTATTAGCGAGCAGTGAACTGGCCACGCAGTTGAGAGCTTCGGGGAGCCTGGGGCTGTCTCAAGCCTGCTCCCTTAGCAGGTGTTCCCAGCAGAGAGGGCCCAAGGAGCGAGTCTCATCCATGGGCAGCAGAGCTCTGTGAAGTGGCTCTTTGGTGCGCCTTGCTCTGCCTCCAGGTGACTGGCATGGCACTGTCCAGCGGTCTGGCCTTTCCGTCTCTCCCCGTGCGGCGCCGCCTGACGCTCCCTGTCGCGCTCTCCCCTCAGGAGACAGGAGCAGTTCCAGACCAACCCTGACAGCTACAACGGAGCCATGCGGGAGAACTACGCCTGGTCCCAAGACTACAGCGACCTGGAGATTAAAGTGCCGGTGCCCAAGCACATTGTGAAAGGCAGGCAGGTAATGAGCGCCAGCGCTGTCCGTCTGTGACGGGTGACGGGCTCCCTCTCCCATGGCCCCAGCCTGCCCAGGTGGTGTTTCTTAGCAGCTCTGATTGCCTGCAGAGGGATGCCGGTCTGTGGAGGGGCAGGCGTGCATATACTATGGGGGCCCAAACTTGCCTGGGGAGGCCACGCCTGGTTACCGTTCAGTGCGGCCGAACACAGCTGCCTCTTCTCATGTAACACCCCGGCTTGGTCCGAGCGCCCCGTCCCTGCCAACCCCAGAGACTGCTTTGGCGCTTCCCTGGAGGACTCCATGACACATTTCCTCTCTTCTCCGCGCCCCCTCACTAGAAACCCAGATGCTGCCTCTGAGTGACTCTTCCCTGGCAGGATACATTACACCCCCCTGAAATCCAGGCATTGCCTCCAAGTTGCAGCTTCCTGAGGAAGCATGTTCTCCCAACTGGTGTAAGCAAAGGCCAGGCCGTCCTGCACATGGTCCCCGTTCCCCTCGCCGGTTGCCCTGTGGCTCACTGCTCTCTCTAGCTGGCGGCTCGTGCCCGCCGCTGAGGCATGCGGCAGAGCGGCCCGCGTCCGTTCACCCCAGACTTTTCCCCGCCCAGTGACTCGCGAGGGAGCAGGAGCAGAGATTTAGCGAATGCGGCGGGGCACCTGCCCTGCTCTCTCCATATAGCCACTGCCCTGCGCTAGATCTGTAGCCTCTGCTTGGATAGTGCGTGTGGTGGGTGGGCGGCTGGAGACGATTTTTCCCCTGCCAGAGACCCCCCCGGAAAGTGACTTGTCTGTTAGCCTGCACCCGCAGGAACATCTACCGCCCGGGAGCTGCCCTTCCTGTGTCTCCTGCGGTGCCCTGTCCCGCTGCCCTGTGAGCATCTCCTATGGGACGGCCAGCGTAAATTACACCCTCTTCGCTTCGTTCCCACTCTGCAATCTCATTGGTGGGCGGGGAAAAGGGACATTGCCCTGAGGCTTGGTGAGTTAAAAGGTCCTGGGATTCTGGGCCATCACTGCCACTACCTCAGCAGCCAGCACCTCGGGCCCTTTAAATCACCAGCGGAGACCCAAGGGCTGGCCGGGGGGGAGGCACGGCGCTATCCGGGCAGTGCCGAGGGCCGGCCGGGGGGGAGGCACGGCGCTATCCGGGCAGTGCCGAGGGCCGGCCGGGGGGGAGGCACGGCGCTATCCGGGCAGTGCCGAGGGCCGGCCGGGGGGGAGGCACGGCGCTATCCGGGCAGTGCCGAGGGCCGGCCGGGGGGGAGGCACGGCGCTATCCGGGCAGTGCCGAGGGCCGGCCGGGGGGGAGGCACGGCGCTATCCGGGCAGTGCCGAGGGCCGGCCGGGGGGGAGGCACGGCGCTATCCGGGCAGTGCCGAGGGCCGGCCGGGGGGGAGGCACGGCGCTATCCGGGCAGTGCCGAGGGCCGGCCGGGGGGGAGGCACGGCGCTATCCGGGCAGTGCCGAGGGCCGGCCGGGGGGGAGGCACGGCGCTATCCGGGCAGTGCCGAGGGCCGGCCGGGGGGGAGGCACGGCGCTATCCGGGCAGTGCCGAGGGCCGGCCGGGGGGGAGGCACGGCGCTATCCGGGCAGTGCCGAGGGCCGGCCGGGGGGGAGGCACGGCGCTATCCGGGCAGTGCCGAGGGCCGGCCGGGGGGGAGGCACGGCGCTATCCGGGCAGTGCCGAGGGCCGGCCGGGGGGGAGGCACGGCGCTATCCGGGCAGTGCCGAGGGCCGGCCGGGGGGGAGGCACGGCGCTATCCGGGCAGTGCCGAGGGCCGGCCGGGGGGGAGGCACGGCGCTATCCGGGCAGTGCCGAGGGCCGGCCGGGGGGGAGGCACGGCGCTATCCGGGCAGTGCCGAGGGCCGGCCGGGGGGGAGGCACGGCGCTATCCGGGCAGTGCCGAGGGCCGGCCGGGGGGGAGGCACGGCGCTATCCGGGCAGTGCCGAGGGCCGGCCGGGGGGGAGGCACGGCGCTATCCAGGTGGTTCCCCGGGCTTTCCGCCTCTAGCCCCATGCCAGAGCTGAGCTCCCTGCCCCCGGTTGCCCAGGGCCTGGCGCAGTCTGTCGCCAGGCCTGTTGGTGAGGGTGGTTTCGGGGAGGTGCGCAGACAGACTGGCTGTTGGCGCCAGAGGTTTATTTTAACTTTCCGTTGTGCTAGAATTCTTGAGTCCCGCGCTGACTTTGTATTTTTCCATGTGGGAAATGCATTTTTTCTTCCCCTGTGTTTTCAGGGCAGCTGAAATGAGCACAGTCGGTTTTGTTCATCAGCCTCAGCCTACACTGCTCCGAATCCTGCGGAAATAGCTTTGTTTGCGCATCAGCATAATTGACAGTGGCAGCACAGACCTGGGGAGAACGTGGTCGAGTGCTGCTGCGGGGCCAGCAGGGGGCGCCCAAGACACCCGTTTCTGCAGGGGCTATAACATGAAACCTCTCTCTAGGGCCGAGAACGAACCCGCCTCTCTGGCTTTGCGGTGAGGGGCGTTCCCCTTTGGGAGCAGCCGGGAAGCCGGTGGTTCCGGGCCCGACTCGAAAGCCCAGTGCTGTCTGCATGTAATGCCCCCAGCTTGAGGGAGCGGGGTCCTAGCGTGCGCGGTCCTGTGCTCCAGTACTGCATGGGTGCGCTGCGGAGCCACTGCCGGGGCCCCCAAGCCCTTCTTGCCTCATGAGCTGCCCCGGCAGGCAGAGAAGGGGCAGGAGAGGGCGAGAGGGAGGGTTAGTATCACTCTGGGGCCAAAACCCTTCTGGCTTGCGTCTTTTTCTTTCTCTTTCTCCCTTTTTAATGAGCATCCCAGCATGACCTTGTGGCTGACCCTGCTGTCCCCAGCAGCAGAGCTAGATGGCTGATGTAGTCACTTTGTGTTATTTTTTAGCTCAGTTTCCATTTATTCTCCTTTTCCTGCATGCAAATACACGTGCCAGATGTCTGCCTAATTCCACTGCAGAGCCTAGTCTTGGAAATCAGCAACTGAACTGGCTTCTAGATGGTCTCTCTCCCCCAGGGCAGGCTGGCGAGATTGTGAGCGGGAAACCCAGTGCCACCTGCTCCCAGATGCTCCCGTCTTGTGCTGTGTTCTCTTCAGCTCTCAGAAACTAAGCAGGGTCAAGGCACATGGGAGACCCCCTAGGATCTGTAGGAGTGGTGTTATCTAGGGTGGTTCAGAGCCAGTTCCCCAGCAGACGTAGCTGATGAGAGGTGACGTTGAGGTCCTGATGACTTGTGTTCCCAAGGCATTTACTGCGAGGGCCACTGTGGAAGCCCCAGCGTCCTGTCCAGATTCCACCTCCACTGTTGCGTTCTGCCTCGCCAAGCACCCTTGCACTTTCACCTGGATTTGCAATTTCCTCATTGATTGTGCACACAATTGTGCTGTGATGCCGCGTGCTGTTAAACGGCTGGCCTGGCCAGTGCAGAAGTGGCTGCACTTCAGTGGCGGGTGAAGTCCTCTCTGTTCTCTCCCTCCTCTATCCCACGGCGGGGTTGCTGGGTGTTGGAAGAGGCTATCGGCTGTGGCACTCGGCGCTGTGTGGACTTGCGTTTGTGCAGGCAGCTGCTTTGCAAGCTTCCCTGCTGCGCTGGGCAGAGGGCTAGATGGGAGGCAGGCATTCCTCACTCTTGCTGCTGCCTGCACAGGAGCATGTCCCTAGCTGGGCTGCTGCCCAGGCCCACGATTCCTGTCTCGCGTTTCTCTCGCCCGCGAACACAGGCAGGAAGGGTGTCCTGGAAGAGGAGTGGACACTAGCATAAGCAAACGCTTATCAGATAGTCGACTAGTTGCTTTCCAGCCCCTCCTGCTGCCTCTACCAGAGAGAGGCAGCAGACGGGAGGGGCAGGATTCAGTGCTGGGGGAAGCTGGCTTAAAAGCCGGTTCGCCCCAGCACCATCTCCATGGGGGAAGAGGCAGGGGTGCAGTGGGGAACTGGCCTTGGAAACGTAGCAGGGCTCTTGGAACACTTCAAAAGCAGAAGCGCCGTGGGGAGCCTGGGCCGAGCTGGGGACTCAAGCAGTCCCCCGCCTCCGTGGCACTTTGCTTTAGAAATGTACATGAGCCCTCCCGGGGGTCTTGTACGTTTCAAGAGCAGGGAGCGCAGGGGACTGCCTGAGCCCTCCGCTGGCCGCGCTCCCCGCCACGCTTCCGCCTTTGAAGTGTCGCAAGAGCCGGCAGGATCCTTGCTACGTTTCAAAGGCCTCAGGAGGCGCCCTTATCGACTGATCAATGCAAATAACATCGATTATTCGATTAGTTGATTGATCTACATTTCACACCCTTAATGGATGCTCTCAGAAAATGGGTCTTGGGCAAGCCGTTTGGGTTGTGTCCTTTCCGACCCCTCCTTAGGAGCCTCCCATTGGACGAGCAGCATTTCTCAGGGGTAAGAAGGGGGTTGGCTGGAGGGAAACAGCAGGTGAGATCATCTGTGTCGCCTCATCCAGTCCCGGTCCCCTGCACGACCAAGGGCCTGGGAGCAGTGGAGTGAGGCCACCAATCTGAGAACTGTGTGGCTGAGCGGAGCTGTGTCTGGCCCCAGCTCTTCAGAGTCAGAGATTGCTGAGACGCACGTTCCCTTGCCAGCAGCAGGAGGTGCCACATACCCTGTGGTGAAGTGGTTCCCTCCATGGGCCTGTCACCCCTTCTGTCCAGTGTCATGGAAGCTGAGGCTGCAGCGTCTCCATTGGAACCAGATCCTGACCCCTTCTAAAAGGCACACACGCCCGTGTCTGTCTGTCAGGAGGCTGGGGCTGAGATCAAAGTGGGATTTTGATTTGAAAGTAAATGGCTGTAGCATTTGTGAACGACGACATCCTGAAAATGGGAAGTGTTCTCCCATTTTCTGCAACGGTGAGGTGAGATTAATATCGGCTTCCCTGGGCTTCCTTGGCTGCAAACTAGTGCCCAGCCCCAAAGACTACTTAAAATCTCGTTTTAAACATTATTAACTTTTGAATTAGGACTGTTGCTATGACATTTTGGCTCAGGCAAGCTTAAATTTAGCTTGCAGAGTGCGCTGCGGACTGTCCCTGGAGCAGCAGTGGGAGGCTGGGAGGGTAGAGGTTTCTCTCACGCGAAGTCTGATTGCTTTCTCCCCCCCCCCCCCGGGCGTTCTCCCTCCCCCGCCCCCCC